CCACCACCCCCACAACTACTCCTCCTCCTCCTGCCGCTGCTGCTACTGCTACTTCTGTCACTTCTGCTACTGCTGCTGCTGCTACTACTGCTACTACTGCTACTACTGCTACTGCTGCTACTCCTGCTGCTGCTACTCGACGACGACTACTACTACTCATACCAACCATTAGTGGTGCTAGTCCTAAGTCCTACTACTGCTACTGCTGCTCCTACTGCTGCTGCTGCATCTGCTGCTGCCTCTGCTGCATCCACTGCTGCTACTGCTACTGCTTCTGCTGCTGCTGCTGCTGCTGATTCTGCTGTTCCGCCTACTGCAGTAGCTTTTGTACTACCTGGCAGTGGTGCTACTGCCTGGAAGTCTTGTCTCGTGAAGTTCGCAGGCGAATCCTGGATGCCGTCCTGGAACGAATTGAAAGCGAGCTGAACCCCCAGTCTACAGTGAGAGTATCATTGCATGTAGGGCAATGTAGGGTCTGCGGGTTTGCGGTTAGAAGTATGGTCCGGGAATTGGAGTTTCCCCAGTATGCATTTGGAGTTTGGGGCTTAGGCGTCGGGTTCTGAGGTCTGTTGGGAGTCGTACAGCCTGGCTGAGGCCTTGTGGAAGATTGCTGTTGCCATTATCGTTCTTCTTCTTCAGGTGAAATAGCAGTGCTATTTTGAGGTATTCGTTGAGGTCCTCGTTCTGTTTCCTCTGACAATCGCAGGCCTCGATTCTGGTTCCATGCTAGGTGGAGGAGCGGGGTGGGGCGGCGGTTAAACAGGAAGCTCTAAAACCCTAAACCCTAAACCCTAGACCCTAAGCTCCGGAAATCCTGAGCGTAGGACCCCGGCACAAATCACGACACCGAGCTACAAGCTCCAAGCCCATTGCGGAAGAATCGCAAAGCCTTGCGGAGAAGCTTAAACCCGCAGCCCTCTACCCCGGACCCAAACAAACCCTAAACCCTAAACCCTAAACCCAAAGCTCAACCTACATTGGTCGTCCTCGTTATCTTCCGAGGTTCACTTTTCTCCTCATTTCGCTCCTCCGCTTGCTGTCGCTTGGCTGGATCAGGATAGCAAGAGCAGAAACCATCGTCCCAAAACCCGGTTTAGGGCTTAGGGTTTAGGGTCTATGGGGTTTGAGAGTGCTTGCAGAAGAAACCTATGAGGGTGTAGGACATACTGTTGACGAGATGGTAGATGCCTTATTATGGGTAATGCAGGATTTATATCATCAACCGTGTCATCCCAAAGCCCTTAACCGTCATGACTGTCGTCGCCGTCATAATGAACACAAGGCAATAAAGTCAAGCTTTCAAGGTTGCATTAAACCATACCCGACGCCCGAAATCCCCTTCACCCAGGCAATCTCGGGGCCTTAATACTTAGATAACAGTTTTTGGCTGTCTTGTAGTTTTGTTACATTCAGTAGCTGTAAGCGGCAGTACTGGGTCATTATTCAGGATTACCCTGAACATTTTGCCCCCATTGCTAAATTCGCCAGCTTCATTCCTTAACCCACAGGCCCTGAAACCTTTGCCATGCATTCGCCGCTTTTTACCGGGGCTTGCATATTTACTAATGCTATTAAATGGTTTCTTTCATTCATTCGGTTTTACCATACACCAAGCCCTTGTTCTAACGGATAAGACCCCTATGCGAACACCCTTGTATAAAGTCCTCGTCAATTGAACCGTTCAAGTATCCGCTTAGGAACCTTTGTCTTATCATTTCCTTGTTTCATTAGCATTCTGATTAGCATTTATTGTTACCTTCACCATCATTATTAATGTAACTGTTACAGTTGCTATCATCATGATTATTATCATTCTTATTACCATTTTCATTATCATTATTGTTATAATGATACTGCCATGATTTGATTTGTATTTGTTTGTTGATATTCAGATTCTTGGTAGTAGGACTAGGAATGCCAGAATTGCTAGCGTTGTTGTTATTCGCAGTCTCTATTGATTCCGAAGTAGGATTTCCGGTAGGGTTTAAGGTTTAAGGATTTAGGGTTTAGGGTTCAAGTGATCAAGAGTTTAAGGGAGGGTTTTTGGTTCAAGGGTTTCAGGGCATAGGGGGTTAAGGATTTTATTTTCATGGTTTGAGGGCTCCGGCAAGGGTTTAAGGGTTATGGGTTTTTAGGGTTTGAAAGCTTCAGGGTGTGTTTACTACTCATCCGCGGTAGCTTCATACGGGTAGTTCTGCAAATTAGGGTCCCTTTTTAGGTTCCCAATATAGTACAACACCCTTATGAAATGGATCCCAAAAGGGACCATGACTAGAGAACTATCCATATGTCTCTACCCAAGGTGTTTCGACGACGAGCAATCGAAGTTTTTCAGAGGAAGACTTGTCGCACCCCTCCCCCAAAAGTTACCAGTCTTCTGCTGTTTTGACGGCCACTTACTATACATTTTGACGGCAACTTACCATGCAAGTAAATGGTCGGAGGTATATTTCTATAAGTACGGTTCAGGCCTAGGAAAGACAGTGTGGCCAGTTTGTTTTCATGTGAGCTGCTTGCTAGTTGCTCCGGTACGTGATAAGGCTTAGCCGGATTCAGGCTTAATTTTGCGATCACTGTAGGTTGCCTCTCTTCAATGACTAGTCGCTGTTAGAGCAAGGATCTTCGAGTCATCACTCAGAACAACCCCCGATCTGCACCGAGATTCTTCATCGTGCTGCTGAACCATGTCATCGCGTGTCTGCCGGGCTCCCGAAGTTCGCATGCGAGGCATACCGGGCATTGTGGCACGCCTTCCCGTGATCTGCATAGTCTTCGCGGCTGAGGTGGTACCTGATTGGCAAGGAGACGCTAGACTCGGAGATGGTCAACTGGACGCTTGGGCATGTAAAGCTGTGGTCAGGTCGCGAACCCAATCCCACTTCCCCAAGGCATAGGGAAGATTGGGCCATCCTTCAGTGTCTCAGAGCCCAGGCCCTAAACGCATGGACGCCAAAGCCTGAACAGTAAGCCCCCCTAAGCCGTTAATGCCGTCAGCCTGAAACCCCCCACGCCTCAGGATTCAGGAGGGGAAATACGAGGACGAGGACCTCCTAGGCTTTCGGTGGAAGCGCGACGATTTCCTGTGCGGTCCGCAAGTGCATGCCGACTTGGCTTTGGCAGTGTCAATGCCAACGCCAACGCCAATGCTAATGCTAATACCAATATGAACTCTGATGCTAATGCTATAATGTTAATGCTAGTGCTAGTACTTCTACTTCTACTTCCAATAAAAATAGCAACAGCCACAACGATAGTAACAGTGGCAATGGTCGGAATAGCAACAGAAATAACAACATATTACAGAGACCTAAACGCATTAAGAAATACCACCACAACCCAATCGTACTCGAGAAAAACAAGCCCTACTATCTATCGATGATTAGTGAATCACAGGGTCATGTCAAACGACAGCGTTCCCCGGGTTTGGGGTTTGTCAGGCGCCGCATTGCTCGTCGCAACGGGGGAACATGTGTACAACTCCCGGGGATCTCAAGGTCGCACTCTCCCTCCCCGTGATGCACCTTAACGCGCGAACCCCTAAACAAGACTACGCCCAACACCTTAAACCCGAAGTTGCCAAACTCTAAACCCTAAATAGACCCTAAGCTAAACCCTCAACCCCTAAATAGACCCTAAGCTAAACCCTAAACCCCAAATAAACCCTAAGCTAAGCCGAAAAACCCTTCGACCCCCAACCCCCGAAGGGCCTTGAAGCCCTACACCCTAAACCCTAAACCGTTCGACGCTGGGATTTTGCAGGACCAGACCTACAAGTACTTCACATCCCTCCACTGGGCCAGAGCCCGAAAGAGAAAGAGTCCTAAAGGGCTTTGCTTCAGGGCGCTGGGGCGAAAGCCCTGCAGCAGAAGAGGCATGTTACCCCAGCCGCAACCCTAATCCCTAAACCCCCTAAACCCTAAACCCTGTACCCTACACCCTAAACCTTAAGCCCCGGAACCCTAAACCCTAAACCCTAAACCCAAACCCCAAACCCTGTACCCTAAATCTAAACCCTAAACCCTGTACCCCAAATCTAAGGGAACCTTAAACCCTAAGCCCTAAACCCTAAACCCTAAAACCCTAAACCCCTAAAACCCCAAACCCCTAAACCCGAAACAAACCTTCCTTGCCGCAAGGGGGGGTCTTTAGCGCTGTCTCGCTCCGCTGAGGCCCTGACTCAGTTCACGCCCGCCTCGATGAACGTGAGTGCTACCAATGCCGCCCGGTTACAGGGTTTAGGGTTTAGGGTTTAGGGGTTTGGGTTTAGGGTTTAGGGAGCTCAACAAGCTTTTCCGTCTACTTTTTTTTACAGGGGTTGGGCTGCAAATCTTGCATGTTGAGTTGGATGGACTTGCCGAGGTCTACGAGCGGATTTTCTCCATCGCCGTGCTTTTCTTCGCCATGGTGGCGTTTTCGTCCATTGTGGGAGGCAGTGGGAGCAGCACAAGGGGTCGAGGTGCAGACGCCTTTGCTGCGCAGGCGTGACGGCCTCCATGACCCAGCTGCAGAACTTGTCATCGCCCAAGGTACTATCATGTCTACCAGTACCAGCATTACTGTCATTTTGGATGTAGGTAAATTGAAGTTTCATTGCTCAGTTTTTTGGATTTGGTGGAATTATTTACATCATCGATCAGTTGCTATCTCGTGATGTGGCAGCTGTGCCTCTGAGGCGAAGCAACCACATGAAGCAGTTCTGGATCCTGCGCCGCTATCTGAAGCAGAATGGTGTCGGCAAGGCGAGCACTGAGTTTCAGCCCATGACTAGACGAGGTCCAACAACAGCAAGGGACAGCAGTCACAACCACAACAACAACAGCAGCAGCAGCAGTGCCAGCAACCACTGTCACGAAGGGAACAACGACAGTTACCCCTTCTGACGACGACTACTTCGACGACTGTGCTGACCCTTGCTGCTACTTTTGCCACTGACTGCTTCTGCGACTCCTCCTCCTCCTCTTCTCTCCTCCTGTTCCTCCTCCTCCTTTTTTTGCCGCCGCTACGACAGCGGGCACGACGACATCTTCGACCACTTCGACGACGACGGCGACCTCAACAACGCCGACGATCACGACGACGACGAAGACAACCTCACGACGACCGCGACAGCAATGGGAGCAAGACCTATCATCCTAGTCGAAGACCGATCAGGAAATATCAACAAGCGGCAGACAGCAGGAACTGTATAACTAAACTTGAAGACATGAAGATACACCTAGTCAGGTGGTAGGTAGCGAACGAAGCATCGAAAATTCATTGTTATGGTCATGCTGCTGTTGCTGCTGCTGCTGCTGCCTGCTGAATTGGGGGTATCTGACCGAGCATGTTGACGTTGATGATAGTTCTTCTGTTGAGGATGCTGGTGTCGCCGATCATTCATGGACGTGCACTTTTTCTTTCATGACTGCAGGAGCTACAGTTCCGCATCGAGAAGTTCCTTGAGTATCAAACGGCCAAGGCCCGATGCAGCCCACAAGCCAAGACCACCCCGGATACAGTAAAGTCCAGAGGCCAAAATCAAACCCTAAAGCCCCAAACCCTAAAGCCCCAAACCCTAAACCCGAAACCCCTAAACCCTAAGCCCTGAGAGACCCCGAACCTCCAACCCCCCCCGAAGGCTCCCACCCGCCAAGCTTAATCCTAAACGGCTCCAGCAGCCTCCCAAGCCTCTCAACACACGATCTTCATCCCTAAACCCTAAACCCCATGTCCCAAATCCTAAACCCCAAACCCCATGTCCTAAATCCTAAACCCTAAACCCCATGTCCTAAACCCTAAACAGCATTATGGCCAGTGTCCTAAACCCTCAGATTGTCCAGGAGGCGGAGCACGTGCAGCCAGCCATGGTTGCACACCTCGCGAAGCTGCCTCTTGCCAGAGCTTTTGGGTTTACTTTGGCATCTCCTTGAAGCTTTAGGGTTTAGGGTTTAGGGGTTTAGGGTTTAGGGGTTCGGGAGTTTATTGGTTCGGGTTTAGGAGTTTAGGGTTCTATTGTTTTGGGTTTAGGAGTTTAGGGAGCTGTGGGAGTTTTGTGTTTCGGGTGTGGAGTGTGGTGCTTTGGGGTTTCAGCAAATGGGGCTTAGGGCGTGAAAACCCTAGACAGCATCTGAACCCTAGCCCCTCAGCATTGAAGTCGGGTCTTGGGTTTATGTTAGGGTTTTGGTGAGGGTATTTTTTTCCGAGTGCCTGTTCGGGCTGCCCACATGGGGACATGGGGATGCTAATAACGTAAACCCTGAGCCCTCAACACATTTGCATAGCTGCTAAACCTAGCACCTAAGATCCCGTCTAAACTCCTCAACCCTTAAACCCAAAACCCTGCCGACCACACACCCCAGAGTCTCAGCACTTCAAAGCCCCCACGGCCCTGCTTCATATGGGCAACTGTCCAAGTTAGGGTCCCTTGTAGGTTCGGAAACTCTAGAGTGCCGTATTTCAGAGTAGAATTATATAGAGGGTTTCCCAAAAGGGTTAAGGTTTAGGGCTTAGGGCTTAGGGTTTAGGGTTTGGGGTTTAGGGTTTCCCAAAAGGGGGCCATGATGTTGACAGTTGCTCCTGCGCGTTGGGGTGGGAGGCGACGGGAGCTGAGGTCTCAGCCGCTGAAGAACGAGTTGCAGTACACCATCATGGCCTGCCTCCACCCTAAACCCTAAACCCCTAAACCCTAAACCCTGAACCCTAAAACCCCTAAACCCCTAAACCCCTAAACCCCTAAACCCTCTGCCTCTGCTGCCTTTTTCTTAGGGCTTGGAGTGGAAGGCGTGGAGTCCAGGCGTCAGTGTTTTGCAGAAGAGCTGAAGGGTTTAGGTGTTGGTGGTTTTGGTGCTTACGGTTCAGGGTTTCAAAGTGTCGGGTCACGGTGAGCTTCAGGTTCCTATGGTTTTGGAGTCACAGAGTTCTGCATTTCAGACTGCGCTGGTGCAGGTGCAGTGGCTGCGCGGCCACCCCTTCTTCTCCAAGATCTGTGAGCCTTCACGGGCGGCAGATCATTTGCAGCCTGACTTAGGTCAAGGGCTCAAGTTTGTAAGGGCCTTTGGAGCAACAGGTACCCACATGCCAAGCTTCATGCACAAGCTCTGCAGCACGGCCATCAAGGAGTTCCTTGGCAAGTGCGTGGTGCAGAGGGGTGACTTTCGCGTGCTGGACACTGCTCCTTCCACGTATGCAGTCCGGTGCACGCGACAAAGGGTCTTGCGGTCATAAGACCTTAAAGTCTAATCTCCTAACCTCAAACCCTGAGAGTTGTCCCGGAGCTTTCAGATCCGAAAGCTGCTTTCATGGTTGTGTTGGGACTGTGAGGTTGTCTGCCAGCTCGTGGCACAACGTGGGAGTTGGGAACCTAAGATATGGGCCCGGCATTAAATTAGATACTGTCGATGATATAAATCCTGCATTGCTGTAAGGACCCTAACTATGGGAATTATGGTATATTCCTTATGATGGGGTAATGCAGGATTTATATCATCAACCGTAGTGGTGCTCACGTAGAAGGGCCCCGACAGAGGACCCTCAAGCCGAAGCAAACTCCCCCGATATCAAGGAAGGTTCTGGGCAGCGGAGACATCGTCTTTGAGGCTGGAGAGGAGTGCAATCAAGTCTACTTCCTCAGTGCTGGCTTGATCCTCGAGCATCTTGGGCCAAACAGTGAGGTTTAGGGTTGGGTTCTCGTTTGGTTGTGCATTTCAAGCTTTTCGGTGAAGGTCGCTTAATGTAGGGGCCTTAATATTTAATAATTAGAATAGGGTTTTGGGGCCCGATATACTATAGTTACAATAAGGAACCCCCCCAAAAAATATAGATAATTATTTAGGCCCCTACCTTAGGGCTCTTGGGGTTTTTATTGGGGAAATCGGGTTTTGGGGCTGGAGGATTGGTCCTCGAAGAACGACAGAAGTGCTTGTTCATCATCTAAGTCAAGCACTTTGGTTTAGGGTTTAGGGTTTGAGGGTTTAGGGCTTTAAGGGTTTAGGGTTTGGGGTTTAGGGTTTAGGGTTTGGTGCTGTACCGCGCTAAACGCACACCGCCTGCTGACTTTGGGCTTGTGTTGTAGTTTTGGGTATTCAAGTGGCGGGCTGTCTTGTGCTCCCTAAACCCTAAACCCTAAACCCCTAAAACCTAAACCCCTAAACCCCTAAACCCTAACCTCTATACCCCAAAAACCCTAAATGCACGCCGGGAAAGATGTTACGGCAGCAAGCAGGCTTCTGCCGTTCAAACTACGGAGGGCGCTTGCGCCTCGCGCCCCGAAGCCAGTCACAGAAGATGCGCCTCTTAACCCCTTAAGCTTAAGCCACCAGGCTTTTGGGATTTTTTTAGGCTTTAGGGTTTAGGGGTTCTATCCTAAGGCCTCTCAGCCAGCCGATCAGACCTCAATCTGCAAGCCCTAAAGCACCAGAAGGTCGTTGCAACACCCTTCAAAAGCTTCTTTTTTTAAAAGTCCCGTCAAGCCTTTCTTAAACCCGAGTGACGCTCTACCGAAGGTACACGCACATTCGGGAGACAGCGGAGACATCCAATAGGCTGCACTCGAAGCAATGGTGCGGGGCTTGGAGAGCAAGAGACCTTCAAATCAAGCACGACGAGGGTTCTATATGGGCCGTTTTCAGTTCGCACATGAAGCGTCCTGTCAGTAAGGATCCCACTTTTCCGGATCTGTTGGGGTCCCTCGGTTCTGAAACTCCCAAATACCAATCGCCCTTCTAAGTGCTGCATGTACTTGAGGATCTATCCCCTAGGTGGGTGGTTCTCCAAATTAGGGTCCCAAAATTAAAAAGGACCCCAAAAGGGACCCTAATTTAGAAACTACCCAGTTGCCTATGTCGGGACGATTGGGCTCCCTGAAGAAAACGTTGTCTCGTCGCGGTGCCGGATAAGAGTCTCACGGCATTAGTACTTCTGATTGGAGCACCTCCATGCCGGAGACTGTCGGCCCCAAGTCCTCAGTGACCTTAGCTTTGTGTGATGCCAGTGCCAATAATAATGTAGGTGCCCTAAAAATTAGAATGGAGTTTGCGGGTATGCTGTAGTATACATAGAATAAGGAACTCCCAAAACCCTATTGTTAAGGCCCCTACATTAAGAAGGAAGTCTGGATGGGTTTCGCAGACCCCACGGCGGAATCCTTAAATCCATTAAGGTTTGGGGTTTAGGGTTTAGTGTTTAGGGCAGAGGCTCTAAGCCCAAAACCCTAAACAGCAAAGCCTCAACCCTAAACCTTGGTAGCCGCTGCGTGCGGACAGCAAAAAAAAGGCCCTCAACAAAGGCAAAAACACAGCCCAACGCCCAAAACGGATTAATTCTGAGACCCTAAACCCTAAAGCCTAAACCCTAAACCCTAAACTTCGAGGATTTCGGAGCCCGCTCTGTGGACCCCTTGGAAGCATCTCGGCGTCTGCGAAGCCGAAAAGCCGGGCCCCTCCGACTTCAAGAGAAGAGAGGCGGCCTGTTTTTGTTTTGGGGGCTTTTTGGGTTTGGTGGGGGTTTAGGGTTTGGGGCTTAGGGTTTAGGGTTTAGGGTTTGGTGGTTTAGGGTTTAGGGTTTAGGGCTTAGGGCTTAGGGCTTAGGGTTTAGGGTTTGGTGGGGGTTTGGCGTTCAGAACTTAAGGGTTAAGGTTTCCGCGTTGCTTCGGGTTTACGAGTTTCGGGCGTAGAACGTTTTGGGACTTAGGGTGCGATGGGGTGTGGCTAGGGTAGCAGTCACCTTCAACCGGAAGGAAGGCATATATACAAGAACCGGCTAGGTAGAGTTGGCTAGGGTTCGAAACAGTTCAGCAAGATCGATTGAGGGTTTTGCATGTAATTAGGCCGTTTTGTCAAAATCAAAATCCCGCAGCCAAATCCCACATCCAAGTCCCAAATCCAAATCCCGATGGTGTTTTCGATTTGGGGTTGAGGTTGTTGGGAGGGGGCCAGAGGAGATTCCAGGCCTCGGGTCGAGGATTTGACCAAGATGGACTTTACTATTCTTCTGAGCATTTATGATTATCTGTGGTGATCAGTATTATTGCTAGTAGTATTGTTGGTGTTATTCTTCGTAGTACTATCACTAGTGTCATTGCTTGTATTATTTGTTATACCTGGCATAAGGAGCCCTTATTGGGCCGCAGGTTGTTATGCGAGGAATACGGCGTCTGTTCAATGGTACGAGTAGTAGAAGTAGTAGTAGAAGTA